ACGGTCCCTCAGCCTCAGTCTGTCACCAAAGCAATTTGGGGTGGATGTCGCGGTAAGATGTGACGCTGGCACGCTCATCATGCAGCAGTCTCCAGCCAATAGCCAAGGTTCGGGGCACGCGAGCGCTGAGGGGCGGGGGCTGTGCGGCCGGTGGTGACCTGACGCTAGCCGGCGGGTCACGCCTCTCTGTGCAGCATGCCGCCGCGAACCGTGGCGGCGGAATCTTCACAAAGGGCGAATTGACTTTTGATGGCAGTTCAGCTCATCGTAGCATGAGATTCGGGTCAAAGCTGTGTGCAGTGCAGTTACGACTCGAAACTTAGTGCCTACATGTCTTACAGTACCAGGAGGCTTCATGGGGGCTCTCAGCTTTCCGTTGAGACGACTACTGCCTTTTTTGGTGGGGGCTTCTTTGCAGAGGGTGCAGTTGACATCTTGGCGGGAACCTCAGTAGACAGATTCGGCAGCGAGCTAAAACCCAAAGTTTTGTTGCAGAGTCGGCGGAGATGTTCAGGAATCTTTGATACGCCTTCGGCGCACCACTGCTGCCGAATCTGGAGGAGGCTTTGTTGCGCTGGCTTCGCTGACTTTGGATGCAGGAGTCCTTGACTTGAGAGAGACCACTGCAATCTCGAGATTCGGCGGTGGCATCTACATTGCTGGGGCATTGAGACTGAACGCGGCGTCGCTCCACATTCGGCATGCCACAGCAGGGCGGCATGGAGCAGGACTTTGTGCCTTGGGCAAAGTTGTCATTGCCAATCAGTCTGTGGTTGCAATTTCTCATAGCCGCACGATCTCGGGACATGGTGGAGGCTTTCATATGGAACAAGGCCTGCAAGTGACGAGCAGATCTGCTGTCAAAGTGCACAACGCTACAGCAGGAAGGAGCGGAGGAGGGTTCTTTTCAGTTGGAGAGGTGCTGGTTGGTGGTGCCTCCAACCTCTCGTTTTCTGACTGCCGCGCGTTGCGGCACGGTGCAGGCTTCTACGTGTCAAAGAGCCTACGCATGAGCGGCAGATCAGCCGTTCACATTCAAAATGCGACAGCACGGGGAAGTGGAGGAGGCTTCTTGGTGTCTGAAAGCGTTGTGATTGAGGAGTCCACTGTGACCATTTCCAATTGCCATTCAGTTTTCAGAAACGGCGGAGGCTTCTACGTAGACAAGACTCTGCAGGTGACCCACAGCTCCGCCATCCGCATACAGAATCTGGGTTGCTGTTAAGGAACTTGAATTAAGTTACTATATTGGGGAAACCCTATTATTTACTATATGTATATATACACCCATTATGGTAACTTAATTTAAGTTCCTTAACAGCAACCCAGGAATGCCACAGCACAGGAGTGGGGAGGATGTTTCATTGTATACGAAGGGGTAGCCGTGGCCGTCGGGTCCACAGTGTCACTCACTGTTTGTCGTGCCAACTTTCAGACTGGTGGAGGCTTCTACACTGCAGCGCACTTTCGTGTGAGCGACAGATCCATAATTAGCATTCACAAGGCGACAGCCCAGGGAAGTGGAGGAGGGTTCCTGGCACTGGGCGACGTTGTCGTGGCTGGGGCATCCAGGCTGACGCTTTCAAAGAGCCATTCACTTTTGGGCACTGGCGGAGGCTTCTACACAACAGGTCTGAGTGTCACTGGCTCTTCAACGTTAAGCGTCAGGAACGCGGCAGCTGAGTCCTCAGGGGGTGGATTCTGGGCAGATGGGGAAATTCTAGTGGCTGAGGATTCCATTCTGTCAGTTGTCCAGTGCCGTTCCATCTCGGGAGATGGCGGAGGCTTCACCGGTGAGAAGAGCCTGCAGGTGACAAACAATTCAGAAGTAAATATTCAAGGCACGACAGCAGCCTGGAACGGAGGAGGTTTTGATTCCACAGGAGAGGCTCTTGTTACGTGGGGATCCAGACTAACGATCTCCGACAGCCATGCGATCTCAAAAGATGGCGGAGGCTTCGCTGCCCACAAGGGCTTGCACGTCAGCAACGGCTCAGCCATCAGCATTCAGCGTGCTACTGCTGGTGGCTGGGGAGGAGGGTTCATCGTTGCTGAAGAGATGTTTTTGGGATGGGCCAAAGTGGACATCTCGGACAGCTATGCGCTGTCAGGGCGAGGCGGAGGCTTCTTCTCGGTGGGCTCCATCCTGATCAACAGCTCACAGGTCACCGTCCGAAATGCCACAGCAAAAACATCTGGAGGAAGCTTCGGCTCGTTTGGTGATGTTGTTGTGGCGTGGCAGTCTGCATTGACAGTTGCAGACAGCCAAGCAACATCAGATGACGGCGGGGGCTTTTACGTGGGTAGGCACCTTCAAGTGGCAACTGGCTCAGCTGTCAACATTCAGAATGCCAGGGCAGGTGGGGGCGGCGGAGGCTTCTTTACCTCTGGCGGAGTGGTTGTTGCAGGCGAATCCAACGTCACAATGGTCAACAGTACGGCTGCAGAGGATGGAGGAGGTTTCCAGTGCTTGAGCTTGCACGTGGCCAGCAGATCAACAATTTTGGTCCAAAACGCAACAGCACAGTTGAGTGGAGGAGGTTTCCTTGCGGGCGGAGAAGTGACGGTCGCAATGAAATCCAGGGTGGCAATTTCTGATAGCCACGCGCTCCATGGTGAGGGAGGAGGCTTCAGAGCTCAGAAGGGCTTGGAAGTGACCCGGGGCTCAATCATCATCCTTAACAATACCCGGGCGGAGAGTAGTGGCGGGGGATTTAGTGCCGTGAAAGAAGTGGTTCTTTCCGAGGGATCCAGGGTGAACATCTCAGGAAGTGGCTCAATTGCAGGAGATGGGGGGGGCTTCAACGCTGAGGAGGGGCTGTCTCTGACAAATAGCTCCGCAATCAGCATTCAGAACGCCAGCGCCGGGAAGCATGGAGGAGGTTTCTTGCTCTGGGGGAGGCTTCTGATTGCTCAAGAGTCCTCACTGAACGTTTCATGCAGCAAAGCGCTGACTGGTGGAGGCTTCAGGGTGCAGAAGGACTTGGAAGTCACCAGCAACTCTGCAATTTTCATGCAGAACGCTACGGCTTTGCGATCCGGAGGAAGCATTGCTGCTTTTGGGGAAGTCTTCCTGGCTGATAGGTCCAGCTTGATCATGATCCGAAGCCAGGCTCTGTCAGGAGGCGGGGGGGGCCTCTTTGCCAGGGGGACTTTGCGGATGATCGGCAGCTCGGTGATCATCCGTGATGCAAGTGCTGGGCAGCACGGGGGCGGCGTTTCTGTGGAGGACCTGGCGGTTTCTTCATCCACGATCTCCATTTCCAGGACCACAGCGGGGGCAGATGGCGGAGGCTTCGCTGCAGCGGCGGCCACACTCACAGACAGCAATATCAGCGTTCATCTTGCATCAGCTGGCCGTGATGGAGGCGCATTTGCGGCTCGGTCGGGCATGACCATCCGCAACGGTTCCATGGACATCCGCAACACCACAGCCTCGCGGACGTTCAGCGCAGGCCGCGTGCTCGGCCAGCTGCTGGTCGCCAACGGATCCCGGCTGCAGGTGCGCGATGCGGAGGGCACGGAAGTTTCCAGCGTGCTGGGCGCAGCCTGCCTGGAGGTTGGAAGGCGATCTGCACTTACGATGACGGGCGCAGTGGGCGGCCACGGCCTAACCTTGAGCAATGGGAACTGTTCCAGCAGTTGTGCGAACCGCACATTGAGGGTGGCAGAGGATGCAGCCCTGAATGCAAGCGGCCAGTTGGGCTTGGGCCTGTTGTCCATGGTGGCCTGTCCGTCCGAGGTCGTGCGCATGTCAGGCATTTATCTCCACTCGTGGTCCGGTCCCTTGCTGAGCACTCGCATGGAACATGCAGTGATCGACGGCATCCGCATCGAGTACCAGACGTTACCCCGCGAGGTGTTGGTGCTGGCCGTGAACGGCAGCTACTCCGTCGAATCCCTAGCAGTCTCGTGTCCCAACTGCAGCCAGGGCATTGCTTTCAATGCCAGCAAGAGAGAACTGCACGCTCTGAGCACTCCGGTGCTTCGCTGCCCAGATGCCGTTTTGGTCTCAAATGGTTCCATGGCACCTTGTACATGCGCTTCCCAGCAGATCACCAGTGAGCGCTTCATGGGCCGTGACCTGGTGCCTATTCAGGACCTTCTGCAGACATGCGCCTTCTGTGAAGTTCATCGGGAGTTTCAGAACGGCACCTGCCGCCAATGCCCCGCCTACAATGCTTGGTCACATGGCAGACTGGATCAGTGCCATCCGTGGCCAAGAGATGTGGAAACCCTTGGACCGCTCCTGGCAGCAGCTGCCGTCTGTGTTGCGGTGATCTTCGCTCTGCTTGAGGTCCTGCAGGCACCGCTGGTAGTGCTTGAGGCAAAGTCGCAGTACACCAGCGAAGATGCCGTCGGCCTTGTGGATGTGAAGTGCAAGAGGTGCCTGACGATATCGGTGCAGGGCCCCAGCATGGACCTTCCTCAACGCCTCGCACGACTAGTGCATCGACACATTTCCTTTCGTGTGTGTCAGACCGGCCTCCATTGGCTGGATTTCGATCCGAAGAAGGCCAACACTGTCTTGGTGCTCAGCGCCGCACCCGGGAAGCTGCAGGTCCGGGATGTGGTGGTGCCGTTTGACTGCGCATCGTGCACGGGCTTCCTTCAAGCTACTGGCGCCTGGCGCCCCATAGCGCTGTTGTCTGGAGTTCTGTGTGCAACGGTCATTCTGCCAGTCTGTCTGGCAGTGGCAGCCGCATCGGAAAATCAGGTGTTGCATGTCCTTGTCACAGTGATGTATTGCGCGCTTCCGGTGCTCCTGCTTGCAGCTGTCCTGCACCCGGTGGTGGCGTGGCTCATCAGCCGCCGCTACCGTACCACACCCTTCTCCGTGGCTTTGGCGGAGTACGGTGGGCGGATCCAGTGTGAGCCGCATCCCGGCCCAGACGCCCATCACCCTCGGAACCAGGGGCTGCCGATGCAGATTTTCTGGGAATTGTGGGCGCACTTCGAGAGCTTCATCCTGGAGAGAAACATGCACTTCATTGTGGCCAACATTGTGAGACCCCTCACGCGAAGCAAGCAGGTTTCATTTGTTACCTTATGGGGTGGCAAGCAGGTGTGGTATTTTGTTTCCCACTCGTGGGGAACTGGTTTCGCGCACTTCGTGCGCTCCCTCCGCTCGCACGCGCTGTCCAAAGAGGGTCAGGTCTGGAGAGAGGCCACTTACTGGATCTGTTCCTTTGCCAACAACCAGTGGGATATCGCAGGAGAGCTGGGAGCCACCATCATGGACAGCGCCTTCGCACAGGTGCTCAACAGCGGCATCCTCAAAGGAGTAGCCATGGTCCTGGACCACGAGGTGCAGCCCCTCACAAGAGCCTTGGCCTTATGGGCCGAATTGTCGCATGATTTTTTGTTTGATTTTGCGGGCTCCTAAGACTTCTCGGCCAATAATTTGCAAACCCGTTTTGCCAGGAGTGTGGTGTCTCTTTGAGTTCCTACTTTCGAGCCAGTTAAATTTGGAGCTGGTCTTTACGACAGATGTTGGCGTGATCGGGGACCCTGGCTGCACCTCCTTCGACATCGCATTGATTGTGGGTAAACGGCTACGGCATTTGGAGGTGGCAGGCTGTCAAGCATCCAGCGATGAGGACAAGAGAAAGATTTTCGATTTCATCATTTCATCCCTCGGGAGTTTAGAGCGCATGGACGACCAAATACGGCGGCTCATGCGCCAGATGTTATTCAGCAACCTTGACAATGTAGGGCATGCCACTGATGGTCTTCTACAACGTCTTGGTCACAGATGAGGGCAAAGGAAGCCTTTTTGGCGCCTCCTGTGTTGGCAATTTCCCTAGAAAGGGGGACCCCCAGATAGACCCCAAAGTATTATAGGCCACATTTTAGGGACCTCAAAACAGGTGCCCCTAGTTTTTGGAAGCCCCCTCTTCTCAGATTTATTCACACATCACGCAAAAGCCGTGTGACTGAGTCTCTTGAGCAAGCTTATGATCAAAGCATCGGACCGTTACCATGCAACTCGTCTGGGTTGCTATTAAGCAACTTCATTGAAGATGCTAGATTTTGCAAACCATTTTAATCACTGCATATACCCATTACGTTAACTCAAAATTAAGTTCCTTAACAGCAACCCAGTCGTTCATGGGCTTTGCATTGCAACTTGAGCTGAGGATGCTTTACGCAGTCATGTTTTCCCAAAGTAGCTTGCTTAAGTAGTTGGCACGGAGTTTGAAAAGTGACCAGTTGTCCCATTGAGGAGGTTTCGCCTAGGTCTACACCTTGTGCAATCCACAGATCAATTTCGATTTTTCCGGACGGATACCTAGAAGGGAAGGGCAAGTACAGAAGATTGGGGTGTCACCGGGATGTCTGCTGTTGTCAGTTCTTTGCGATACATCGGGACTGTTGCAACATTCAGCAACTGAGAGGAATTCGGCGTGTCCAAATCCTACGCGGCTATAACAATGTGTCTCAACCTAACCCGCCATGTTCGAAGTTTGCCTTAAAGCGCTGAAGCCGCTGAACCTGTTCACAGCTCTGCTTTCAGCCTTGTTCCTGGCTTCATTATCTTCGCTCGGCAAGTGGCGTCCTAGCACACTTGTGCAGCAAAACCTGAGCAACTTGGCCTCGTACTAGTGTTTCGGTCGTTTTCATGCACGTTCGCCTGGGGCAAGCCCTCAAGCTATAAAAAAAGGAACAGCGCATTTTAAACGCAGGGTTCTATAGTAATAGTAAGAACACTTGCAATCATAGTAAAAGCATTAGTAGTAATAGTAGTAACGTAATAGTACTAATGATAGTAGTAATACTCAGAAGTAGTGGCTTCGGTTTTGTTCGTTCATGGCCGGTGTTCTGGCTTGTTTCTACAAAGAGCCTCTGTCCAGGGTCTGCAGCTGGTTTCTTCATTCCTGCTTCCAGGGAAGGGAATTCTCAGTAGCAGGCAGCCAGGAGGGCGGAGCACGTGGTCGGCAGCTTGAGGCAGGCCCAGCAGTCTTGCGGGGAGTCGGGGAGAGGTTGATGCACTGGTGCCCTTGCCAGGATTGCGGGGCCACCAGCTGGGATGTGCTTTGCAGAGGCCTCGAAGTGCCAGTCGGGTGTCTGCGAGTCCACGCGGCGCCCCTCGGCTTCTGGGAAGTTTAGCCATGTGCACGCAAAGACGTTCAGGTGCACAGGCATTTCGCGATTGTCCTTGTGGAGCTGAGGTCCCAAACTGTTTCCAGCTGCCGCCTGGTTGGTCCCAGTCGGGACGGACTGCCTGCGTTCCTCGTCAGCAGCGGCGGCCTGCTGACGCTGGAGACCGAGGGTGACTTGCACGTCACTGGCCACATCCACTTGAAGGATCTGCGCCTGCAAGCCCAGAAGCTTGACTTTCAAGAAGAGCTCGTTTTCAAAAGTTTCAGATATTGTCTCAACACCCAGGAACTTGACCTTTGAAGATGCGCAGCTGGAAGCATGGCATTCGCAAACTTCAGGAACCGCAGACATGGGCGGTGCCTTCTCTTCCCGTGGGGCCCTGACCTTTGTCCAGCAGTCGAACGTCACGGTCCCTCAGCCTCAGTCTGTCAGCAAAGCAATTTGGGTGGATGTCGCGGTAAGATATGACGCTGGCACGCTCACATCATGCAGCAGTCTCCAGCCCATAGCCAAGGTTCGGGGCACGCGAGCGCTGAAGGGCGGGGGCTGTGCGGCCGGTGGTGACCTGACGCTGACCGGCGCGTCACGCCTGTGCATAGAGCACGCTGCTGCCAAGGAGCAGGAGGAGCAGGGTATTGTGAATAACCATGGCGGCGGCTTATATGCTTCTGGTGCAGTGAAACTTTGTCAAATGTGCGGCGTTGGTTTCCTTTGTTGCATTTTCTGTGCAAGATCTTGCAGGTTGATGCGTTGGTCGTAGGTGATGTGTCGGAGAGAAGGCTGCGAATGCTCAGGAAGATCCGCGGAGCCTCCCAGCTTGCCATTGCGATGACTTTTGCGGAGCGTGGTGCGGGCTTCTATGCAGAAGGTCAAGTTGATGTCCAAGTGCGGATCTCAGTACACCGGTACATGGGTGTAGCAAGATGTTTGTTGCAAGAGCAGGTCTGCATATAGAGCATCGGTGTTGCCTCGGCATCAAGTCCTTTCTTTACCCTTTCTCTGCCTTTCCTCTGCTATTCTTCTGCTGCCCCTGCTCCTTCTGTTCTGCCACTATGAGAGTCAGCTTTTCCAGCCGCACTGGTGCTAATGGCCTGGGCAGGAGAATTCGCTCATCCGCATTCACAATGCTATCGCGGTCCTAGAAGCAGGTGGATTTTGGGCATCTGACGGCATGACTGTATCTGCTAGCACAATTGAGCTTCAGCAGACCTGGGCAGGGAGAGAAGGTGGCGGCTTCTGGGTTGAGGGTTCTGTGCAGTTTCAGAGCTCATGGCTCAATATTGACAATGCCAGGGCAGGGGGAAGTGGAGGAGGCTTCTTTGTCAGGGGCCACGCTACAGTTGCCAATAGTTCTCAACTGGAAATCTGCAATAGCCATGCCGAGAATGATGGTGGAGCCTTTGCCATTCAAGACAGCGTTACAAACATGGAGGGGGCCAGAGCCAAAGGTGATCAAGGGGCTGACCTTGAGGTGCGAAGCGGGTCAGTTCTCATCATTGAGAATGCCTCAGCAAAGGATGTGGGTGGGGGCTTCGCAGCATTCGATCGCGTGCTTGTCGCTGAAGACTCAAGACTTCAAATCTCCAACACCTGTGCAAAGGGCGGAGGAGGTATAAAGGCCGGGAGCCTCTTAGTGGCCATCAACTCACAAGTCATCGTTCACAATGCGACTGCTCAAGAGAAAGGGGGAGCCATCAAGACACAGGACTGGGCTCTTGTAGAACAAAATTTTACATTTTTATGGATACCTGGGTGCAATATCAATTAAACAATTGTCTTTTTTAATATCAATTAAAAAAAGAGAGATTTTTTTCAATAGTATTTCAACAAGAACCCAGAGGAACTTTTCGTCAACGAGGGCTCGGAGGTGACAGTCTCTGACAACTTCGCGAAGTTTGGGGGAGGCTTCTGGCTTGCTGGGAGTTTGCAGCTCGCGAACAGCTCAGCAATCAACATCCAGAATGCCACAGCTGTGTCAAGCGGAGGGGGATTTTTTGCATTTGGAGACGTCCGTGTTGCTGGTACGTCCACCATGAAGCTTTCCAACTGTCATTCAGCTTCCGATGGAGGCGGAGGATTTGCTACCAAGAAGACCCTGCTAGTGACGGACAGTTCGGCCATCAGGGTTCAGCATGCTACAGCAGCAAGGGGAGGATGTTTTTACGCGCACAATCAGGTCGAAATCGCCAGGGCTTCTGCTTTGGTTGTTTCGAACTGTACTGCGAGTTCGCGAGACGGCGGAGGTTTCGTTTCCGGGAGTTTGCAGGCAACTGGAAGCTCGACAATCAATATTCAGAATGCCAAGGCCGCAAAGCAGGGAGGAGGCTTCAAGTCATCATCAGTTCTTGGGTTGCTGTTAAGGAACTTAATTTTTCAGATTTAAGTTACTATATTAGGGGAAACCCTATTATTTACCATATTCACCCATCATGGTAACTTGATCTAAGTTCCTTAGCAGCAACCCAGGTGGTTATCGTTGATGACAAGTCCACCATTTCCGTGACCAACTGTAGTGCAATCTCGGACTCTGGCGGAGGATTCCATCCCTAAACCCTAAACCCTACACCCTAAACCCTAAACCCTTAACCTTATACCCTAAAGCTGCACTCTGGCGGAGGATTCCATGTTTATCGGAACCTGCTCTTGACCGGCAGCTCAGCCATCAACGTACACACTGCCACTGCCAGGAGTGCTGGTGGAGGTTTCTAGGTTCTTGTTGCACAACATTTGAGCTATAGTCTAAACTCCTTAAAGGGGGTTATATAGGGGATTATATAAGGGACTACTATAAGGGATATGAAGGGGGATACTAGGAGTTTAGACTATAGCTCATTTAGGAGTTTCCCAAAAAAGGTCCCTATAATAAGGACTATAGTATATTTGGGGCTACCCCTATTTTGGGAAACTACCACAATTCACATTTTTATGTATACTTGGGCTCAATATAGATAAGCAATGTTTGTTTTAATAGCGGTTCAACAAAAACCCAGGTTTCTTTGCAGGAGATGTTGCCCTCGCCGGTCGCTCCGTGTTGGCGATCTCCGACAGCAGCGCAGCAACGGGAGCTGGCGGGGGCTTCCAGGCAGCAAGTTTGCAGCTGACAGACAGCTCAGCCATCAGCGTTCTGAATGCCACAGCCATGGGCGATGGGGGATGTTTCATGGCAAAGGAGGAGGTCCTTGTTGATGATGGGTCGCAAGTGTCAGTTTCCAACTGCCATGCAATCTCATCACATGGCGGTGGCTTCAAGGTTGAGGGCGGCTTGCGCGTCGTCAACGGGTCAATCATTGGGATTGACCATGCAACGGCAAAGAAAAGTGGAGGAGGTTTCGTTGCAGGTGAGGTCAACGTCACAAAGCACTCCAAAATCACCATTTCTGGCAGCCGCGCAATCTTACGCAGCGGTGGAGGCCCTCACACACAGAGCAAGAAATTGTGCTTCTAGAGTGTGACAGGTCTTCTGGATGTGACAGGTCTAGGAGCCACTTCTGGATTTATGCTGTTTGTAGTACGTACTGTACACGGATAGAAGATGATAGAAGTGCATGTAGCTTCAGTGTCGCCATTAAGGCTTCAGAACTAATCAGCCAATGTTGCCCACAAGCAAACAATTCTAAAACCTGAAGCTCCCAATGGCTGCAGTCATTGGCATTGTTGCAGGCTTCAGCGCACGGAGCTTTCAGGTAACCAGGGCATCTGCTTTGGTCATTCGGAGCGCGGAAGCTGAGGAAAGCGGCGGCGGTTTTGCGGCTACTGGAGATGTTTCGGTCTCTGAGAATTCCACGGTGAGGATCTCTGATTGCTTCGCAAAGTCGCAGGATGGAGGTGGCTTCAGTACAGAGCAGAGCCTTCGCATTTCCGATGGTGCAACAGTCAGCATTCAGAATACCACAGCTGGTGGGCGTGGCGGAGGCTTCGCGACGTTTCAAGAGGCTGTGGTCTCGGGGCAGTCAAGGGTGATGACTGCTGATTGCCACGCAAACTCGGCAAGTGGCGGAGGCCTCTTTGTGGGGGGTGGCCTGAGGGTGTTCGGCAGCTCAGCGATCAGCTTCCTGAATGCCAGTGCTGGGCAGCATGGAGGTGGCTTTTATGTGGAGGATTTGGCAGTTTCTTCATCCACGATCTCCATGTCCAGGACCACGGCGGGGGCAGATGGCGGAGGCTTCGCTGCAGGTGCGGCCACACTCACAGACAGCAATATCAGCGTTCACCTTGCTTCAGCTGGCCGTGATGGAGGCGCATTTGCGGCTCGGTCGGGCATGGCCATCCGCAACGGTTCCATGGACATCCGCAACACCACAGCCTCGCGGACGTTCAGCGCAGGCCGCGTGCACGGCCAGCTGCTGGTCGCCAACGGATCCCGGCTGCGGGTGCGCGATGCGGAGGGCACGGAAGTTTCCAGCGTGCTGGGCGCAGCCTGCCTGGAGGTTGGAAGGCGATCTGCACTTACGATGACGGGCGCAGTGGGCGGCCACGGCCTAACCTTGAGCAATGGGAACTGTTCGAGCAGTTGTGCAAACCGCACATTGAGGGTGGCAGAGGATGCAGCCCTGAATGCAAGCGGCCGTCTGGGCTTGGGCCTGTTGTCCATGGCGGCTTGTCAGTCTGAGGTCGTGCGCATGTCGGGCATTCAGCTCCACTCGTGGTACGGTCCCTTGCTGAGCACTCGCACGGAACATGCAGTGATCGACGGCATCCGCATCGAGTACCAGACGTTACCCCGCGAGGTGCTGGTGCTGGCCGTGAACAGCAGCTACTCCGTCGAATCCCTCGCAGTCTCGTGTCCCAACTGCAGCCAGGGCATTGCTTTCAATGCCAGCAAGAGGGAACTGCACGTTCTGAGCACTTCGGTGCTTCGCTGCCCAGATGCTGTTTTGGTCTCAAATGGTTCCATGGCACCTTGTACCTGCGCTTCCCAGCAGATCACCAGTGAGCGCTTCATGGGCCGTGAGCTTGTGCCTATTCAGGACCTTCTGCAGACATGCGCCTTCTGTGAATTGCATCGGGAGTTTCAGAACGGCACCTGCCGCCAATGCCCCGCCTACAATGCTTGGTCGCATGGCAGACTGGATCAGTGCCATCCGTGGCCAAAGGATGTGGAAACCCTTGGGCCGCTCCTCGCAGCAGCTGCCGTCTGTGTTGCGGTGATCTTGGCTCTGCTTGAGGTCCTGCAGGCACCGCTGGTAGTGCTTGAGGCGAAGTCGCAGTACACCAGCGAAGATGCCGTCGGCCTTGTGGATGTGAAGTGCAAGAGGTGCCTGACGATATCCGTGCAGGGCCCCATCGTGGACCTTCCTCAACGCCTTGCACGACTAGTGCATGGACACATTTCCTTTCGTGTGTGTCAGACCGGCCTCCATTGGCTGGATTTCGATCCGAAGAAGGCCAACACCGTCTCGGTGCTCAGCGTCGCACCCGGGAAGCTGCAGGTCCAAGATGTGGTGGTGCCGTTTGACTGTGCATCGTGCACGGGCTTCCTGCAAGCCATTGGCGCCTGGCGCCCCATAGCGCTGTTGTCTGGAGTTCTGTGTGCAACAGTCATTCTGCCAGTCTGTCTGGCAGTGGCAGCCGCATCGGAAAATCAGGTGATGCATGTCCTTGTCACAGTGATGTATTGCGCTCTTCCGGTGCTCCTGCTTGCAGCTGTCCTGCACCCCGTGGTGGCGTGGCTCATCAGCCGCCGCTACCGTACCACACCCTTCTCCATGGCTTTGGCGGAGTACGGTGGGCGGATCCAGTGTGAGCCGCATCCCGGCCCAGACGCCCGTCACCCTCGGAACCAGGGGCTGCCGATGCAGATTTTCTGGGAGCTGTGGGCTCACTTCGAGAGCTTCATTCTGGAGAGAAACATGCACTTCATTGTGGCCAACATTGTGAGGCCCCTCACGCGAAGCAAGCAAGTTTCATTTGTTACCTTATGGGGTGGCAAGCAGGTCTGGTACTTTGTTTCCCACTCATGGGGAACTGGTTTCGCGCACTTCGTGCGCTCCCTCCGCTCGCACGCGCTGTCCAAGGAGGGTCAGGTCTGGAGAGAGGCCACTTACTGGATCTGTTCCTTCGCCAACAACCAGTGGGACATCGCGGGGGAGCTGGGAGCCACCATCATGGACAGCGCCTTCGCACAGGTGCTCAACAGCGGAATCCTCAAAGGAGTAGCCATGGTCCTGGATCACGAGGTGCAGCCCCTCACAAGAGCCTTGGCTAGAGTGGGCTGGAGGTGATGGTTTCCACAACTAAGTGGCCCCTGCATGGACCCCAAAATTCTTTGATCCTTCTTATTGCGACCCCCGCAAAGGCACCCCCTAGTTTTGGGGAGACACCAAGTACCTTTAGTTGAACTGGGCCAGTTGACCTCGCAGAAGAGACCCTTTATAAGAAGAAGCCTTCATTATTTAGGGTCTATTTTGGGGGTGGGTTTAGGGCCTCCTTATTTGGGGTCTATTTTGAGGACGGTTTAGGCTTGAGGGTCTGGGGTATATTATAGGTTCCCAAAATATCAGGCAGATTGACAGTCATGACAGGACTTTTCATGACATGAGATGATTTGAAGCTGCATGTCCGACAAGCCAGCTTGCAGCAATCTCGCCAGGAGTCTGGTGCCTGTTCGAGTTTCTGCTCTCCAGCCAGCTGAAGTTAGAACTGGTCTTTACGACGGATGTGGGTGTGGTCGGCGACGATGGCTGTACCTCATTTGACATCGCCCTGGAGCTAGGCAACAAGATTGAGTCCTTGAAGGTGGCAAATTGCCAAGCATCCAGCGATGAGGACATTACTATTATCACTATTATTACTGTTATTACTAGTGTTCATACTACTAACCCTAAACCCTAAACCCTTTGGCCGAATCCACCTTGGCACTGGCCCTACCCAAACGGTGCTCCTTGCGAGGAAAACGATCCGAAAAAAAGAAAATAAGTCTGAGCCCCAAACCCTAAACCTTAAGCCCTAAACCAGGACTTGCCGTGCCTGCACAGCTGTGCGATGCGCGTGTCTAAACCCTGAACCCTGAACCAGAAACCCCAAATCCTAAAGCCCTGAGGACAAGAGAAAGATCCTGGGTTGCTGTTAAGGAATTTAATTTAAGTTACCATAATGGGTATATATAGTAAATAATAGGGTTTCCCCAATATAGTAACTTAATTTAAGTTCCGTAAATCCCTTTTTTCCTCAGTTTCCATTTCATTTTCCATTTTCTTTTCCATTTGATTCTCCATTATGGTGGATAATATAGTAACTTAATTTAAGTTCCTTAACAGCAACCCAGGATCTTCGAGTTCATCGTTTCCACGCTAGGAAGCCTAGAGTCGATGGACAGCCAGATCAAGTATCTTATGGCCCAGATCCTGGGCTGCGGTTAAGGCATAGGATTTAGGGTTTAGGGTATAGGGTTTAGTATTTAGGGTTTAGGATTCAGGGTTTAAGGTTAAGTTTAGGGTATAGGGTATAGGGTTTAGGGTTTAGGGTAAGGATTTGGGATTTAGGATTTAGGGTTTAGGGTTTACAAGGGTTTGGGATTTAGGATTTAGGTTTAGGGTTTATAAGGGTTTGGGAGTTAGGATTTTGGATAATTTTGGGTTTAGGGTTTAGGGTTTATAAGGGTTTGGGATTTAGGATTTAGGGTTTAGGGTTTATAAGGGTTTGGGATTTAGGATTTAGGGTTTAGGGTGTAGGGTTTCAGGCTTTGGGGTATAGGGTTTAGGGTAACTTAAATTAAGTGACGATCGTCGAGAAACCCAGGAAACCCTATAATTTGCTATATACCCATAATATGGTAGCGTAAACCCTGAAACCTAAACCTCAGATGGATTTCCGACCCCCGGGCAAAGAAGCTTCCCTAGCGTTATGCTTGCACATCAAAAAGGTACGAAGGCTTTTAAAATCAGATCCTAAAGCCTAAACCCTAGCTGATTATGGTAGCTAAAGTTAAGTTCCTTAACATCAGCCCAGGATGTTGAAGAAGAACTTGGAGAATGTGAGACAGGCCACCCATGGCTTGCTCAAAGAGCTTGGCCAAAGATGACCTGGAGGGATAATGTAGGGTTTAGTGGTTTAGTGGTTTAGGATTTAGGGTCTAAGGTTCGGGTCCCTGTAGGCAGCACAAGGTTACATAATTCACCTCTCTTCAGGCCACCCAATCGTTGCTGTAATGAAGACTTATCTTGTTTGGCTGAAAAGACAATGCTGCTTGCCAAGCCACAGCCCAACAGCTGGGAGTTGTGGAATTCCTGTTGCTATGATTATTTTCTGTAATATGGCCACGATAATGTTTGTTCTTGTTATCGTTGCTAGCTGTATGGAAGTGAGTGTCGAGTTAATTCGTAAATCAGTGGACCTAATGCAGCAGGTGCTTTGGACGTCATAGCATCCGAACAGCGGTTAAAGGTCTCGCGTTTAAGGTTTAGGGTCTATAGGGTTTTGTTCAAGAGGGTTTAGAGTTTATGGCTTCTGAAGTGCAACCTCGTGCTCATGCATTTTCCTGTTGGTCAAACATGGCGCCAACCCTTTCCACATGAGTACGGAGGCACTCCGCTCTGGAGTCGAATTTGGGTCTGCTCGCCTTTAACAAATGAGTTGGCCATCTTTAAATGGACAAATCGGGATTTCCCAGAATTAGGGGTCGCTCTTGGGAGGATCCCCATAGTAAGGATTCGCGTATTTTGGGGTCTATATGGCGTAGTCCTAGAGTAGCTAGTAAGCATAAGCATTAGTTCTGGGTATAGTACTAATACTAAAATTAATGATGGAGTCCCCTTGTTTGTGGAAATTGCCCAAGGTGATTTTAACCGTTTTGCATACGGAGGCGCCCTGTGAAGTGGTGCTGGGAGAAGAGCCGGTGTTCCACAAGCGAGTACCTGCTAGAGCTGTTGACTAATCACCTCCCCCTGATAATACCCCCGCTCCCCAACATGTACCATGAAATATCAGAGTATCAGAGGGAAACCTTCAGTACTGGAGGGGGTGGATGTTCATTCTTAAGGGGAGGGGTTAGGGTGCCTAGACTGTGCTGGCTGTGGTCAGAAAAACGCGCGTGGTGAAAACATGAACGACAGCCACTGCCGCTCGCATACTGGAGAGATGATGCGCTTAGCATCATGGCAAGAAAATCGGCACCTACGTGATGGCCCCAATCTAAAAACGCGTCTGATTCTCACGCCTCCTTTTCAGATTGTTGACTTCACATTGCTGGTGTTCCAAGGTAGATCATCACCCACCCAGATGCCCCACCACCCCTTTATTAAGGAAGGTGCTTTGAATGATAAGAACCCTAAAATGGTTCGAGGACTATTCCTAGGAACCAACCTTAATCTAGGGGTATGGGGTTCCCTAAGCCCTAAACCCTAAGCCGTAACCCCTGAACCCAAACCCTCTGAGCAGCCTCTTTAAGCTCAAGTTCGACGCAAAAAAAGCTGGATCGCCATACCGACCTCGCTTTCGACACCTGAAGCAACTCGTCGTTGAACCACCTGGAAGACATCTTGTGTAGCGGTTTAGGGTTTAGAGGTTAAGGGTTCAGGTTTTAGGGTCTAGGGGGACGGTTACGCTGGGATGCGACCCAGTGTCGTTGAATTGAGTCAGCCTTTTTTTGACAGGATCCCCGGCAAACTAAAGGATCCTACTTCCTGAAAGTTGGGAGTATCTCATGGTATCCCAATTTGGAGAGATATTGGAGTTGTTCTCGAAATTATGAGCCCCTTTTGGTCATGACTCATAGATTATATTACGGCACCCAATATTTAGGGGTACCAAAAATAAACCCTAATTTTGGGAACTACCCATCTGCACCTTGTCCACTTTGCAGACCTGGTATACGTCCGCACCAGTCGAGCACCCACTGCATGACTTATCACATCATATGAGCTGTAGTTTAAAATTCTTACCTAGCGGTTTATATAGGGGATTATGTATAGTGACCACTATAGGGGTTTCTAACGGGGATACTAGGAGTTTGGACTATTGTTCATACAGGAGGTCTATCGGTGCAAAGTTCTTCCAAATCGACTGATCTCACCCGTACGCAGACCGTGCCAACCCCTTGACATGACATCAAGCCCTTATAGGGGTAATATAAGGGTAATATAGTAATATAGGGGGAATATAGGGATTATATAGGCATAATGGAAATGAACATGGAAACTTTCATTTAGGGTTATCATCTTCTTTGATTTTCTCCTTCTTGAGGCGGCCCAGGTTCCTTATAGCCTGGCTTACACCAGAAGGGGAGCCCCTTTTCTTGGAAGGATCCGGGTAAGGCAATGGTGAAGCGAACCGCAGACCACTTCCCGTCTGAGCACGCCGGCGTGCACAAGGCTTGGCCATGGGAAAATCTTTCCTCATGGAGGGGTGGCGTCCAGTTTTCATGGCTCCCAGACCTATTTGCGCAAAAATCCTCATGATTTCATCTCATCTCATGGGCTCCAGCGCAAAGGCGGGTGGGGCGGATCGCAATAACGCAAATGAACTGGGACAAGGCCATTTAATGCAAAGCCTGAGTGGTCCCCACCTCTTGGAGGGGTTGTGAGACAGTGCCGCCATCCTGTTTCTGGGTTGCTGTTAGTTTAATTTAAGAAAATATGGGGGAACCCTATTATTATTCACAATATACACCCATTATGGTAACTTAAGTTCCTTGAAAGCAACCTAGGGTTTGGAGTTTCAGAAGCTAGCCTCGGTCGATTTCACCAAGTTTGCAGTGATTTTTTATGGAGTCCACTTGGAGGGTCAGGGGGCTTAGTAAGTAGGTTAATAACCCCTATAACCCATATAGTAACCGTACACCTTACTTGGAGGGTCAGGGGGGGCTGAGTAAGTAGGTTAATAACCCCTATAACCCATATAGTAACTGTACACCTTACTTGGAGGGTCAGGGGGGGCTTAGTAAGTAGGTTAATAACCCCTATAACCCACATAGTAACCCTAATTATCCCGACCCCTGACCCTCCAAGTAGCTTGTCCAGGGCCTATGCAAGGCTGGCAAAAAGATGAGCTAGAGCTAGAGGGGCGGAGACGATTCGAGCGTAGCCTGTGCAGGACCTTCCACCGAAGAAGCCGCGATCTTGGTATGGGATGAACTTGCACTCGGCTTTTTGCTCAGATAGCGGCGTCCGAAAAGGAGCTCGAAAAGGGCCTGCCCAAGTTTGTTCCATACTAGCAAGTGAGAGTTATTGTCAGCAAAACTCTACCTTGTACAAGAGCACATGATTACGGACTTCGGCGCTTCTGATAGTGCCCTCGTGCTGCTCCACAAGTTAGCCAGAGCGTGTTCCTCAAGAGTGTCTAGCCACACTAGGTAGCTGAGTAGTATCCTTTTTCCCTTTTATTTTGGAGTCTCCTCATTAAAGCTGACCATAAGGGAAAAAGGGTACCCTGATTAGCAGGGGGACTGGGGAACCCTCAACCATCCTAAACCTAAACCCGAAACCCTAATCTGTAGGGCCCTTATGATTAAGGGGTTACTAGGGAACCTTGCGCAATGCCAGGATAACAAACCAGCATATGCCCCAGCAGCAAGGTGGGGAATGCTACCAAAAGGTATGTTTGCCTAGCTTTAGGATTTGGTTGTTTTCGGGTTTAGGGTTTTAGGGTTTTAGGGTTTTAGGGTTTTAGGTTTTAGGGTTTAGGGTGTTACATGGGGTAGGCTTCTGTACAGCAACATCCTCCCCACCCTTTGAACATTAGTTGTTATCTGGTCTCCACTTCAACCCTGATATCTCACCAATGGCCCAGAGGTCAGGGACGCAAGGTACACAAGTCGACCCGAAATGGGTTTAGAGTCTTGTGTGTTTTTGGGGACTTCTGGTCACTGCTAAGTGAGTCTGTGTTCCCAAGGAGGAGAGGAGGCTCACTAGATGTTTTGAAAATGCAGGCGCCTAAAAAATGCACCACAACTAGCGGGATGCCAATGGAACTAGCACGTATGAAGCAAAAAAGTGGGGTCGCTGCCTATGATAATTCCATATTCCAATTGTCTTCACATCAACCCTTGGTGGAGAGAGCCCTGAGCCCATTCCATCTCCAATTCTTGCTTGCAAGTTCATTGGTAGGAAGTCCCAATATCAAGGTATCGCTATAGCTACTTGAATTGTAACCTTATATCTGATTATTCGAACATAGCCTTTATAACCTCACTCCTCGCAATTTCCTATGGGCCTTGAAGCATGAACCATCTATCTACTGAAGGTTCGCCCCTCAATCACCTGCCTCACCAGCGTTGCTGAGCTCATTTAGTACCATTCAAATTTGGCTTCAGGCCACAGAGTTGGTGCAGTTGGATGTATAAGTGTAGGGATGTTTAGAACAGCGGCCGGATGGCAAATTACAGTCGGCACAAGGGTCTGAGGTTACGGTTAGCAACGAGAGGGTGCTGCGCAACCTCCTCATTCATTCTGCAGGAAGTGAAGAAACTTATCTTTGGTTAGCTAGCAATGAAGGAATGATCCTTATAGTAGTCCCTGTATGTCCCTATGTAACGTTTCCGTTTTCTTTTCCATTCCTTCATTCCCAGCTAACCAAAGTAAGGAAAATGATGTAGGAAACCCTAAACCTAAGCCCCTAAGCCCCAAACCAGTGAAATGATAGGATAGGTGTTTGCCTTGCTAAGGCCATGGGCCAGTTCAAGTCCATTGCTCTTACTCCTTTGCATACCACAGATCACGTGATCAAGTTCGTCTAAGGTGTCAAGGTTTTAGGTGTCAAGGCCTTAAGGTTTGGGGTCAAGTGATCAAGTTTCGTCTAGGGTGGCAAGGTTTTAGGGCTTAGGGTTCAGGGCCAGGGGACAGCTGCATCCTATTTACGAGTACAAGAAAGACTCGAAGGGGATGTGTCTCGCAGCCAAGCATTGGAGTGCCAAAATCAAGGTCCCTCAAGGACCCTGAGAAAGTATGCCAGGCCAAAGATTGGCACCTCTTTGTGCAGCTCGTAAGAAGAAGAGATGCATTTGCAAGAGTGGAGAACCAACTGGAAAGGGAATGGAACATGAAATGCACTCTGGGTTGGAAACAGAAGTGATAGAAAGGGATTCTG